TAGGGTACATTAGTTCCCTAGGCTAATAATAAAAATTTTTCGAAAATTTTTTAAAAATTTCTAAAATATTAGGGTACATTAGTTCCCTAGGCTAATAATAAAAATTTTTCGAAAATTTTTTAAAAATTTCTAAAATATTAGGGTACATTAGTTCCCTAGGCTAATAATAAAAATTTTTCGAAAATTTTTTAAAAATTTCTAAAATATTAGGGTACATTAGTTCCCTAGGCTAATAATAAAAATTTTTCGAAAATTTTTTAAAAATTTCTAAAATATTAGGGTACATTAGTTCCCTAGGCTAATAATAAAAATTTTTCGAAAATTTTTTAAAAATTTCTAAAATATTAGGGTACATTAGTTCCCTAGGCTAATAATAAAAGTTTTTCGAAAATTTTTTAAAAATTTTAAAATATTACGGTACATTAGTTCCCTAGGCTAATAATAAAATTTTTCGAAAATTTTTTAAAAATTTCTAAAATATTAGGGTACATTAGTTCCCTAGGCTAATAATAAAAATTTTTCGAAAATTTTTTAAAAATTTCTAAAATATTAGGGTACATTAGTTCCCTAGGCTAATAATAAAAATTTTTCGAAAATTTTTTAAAAATTTCTAAAATATTAGGGTACATTAGTTCCCTAGGCTAATAATAAAAATTTTTCGAAAATTTTTTAAAAATTTCGAAAATATTAGGGTACATTAGTTCCCTAGGCTAATAATAAAAATTTTTCGAAAATTTTTTAAAAATTTCTAAAATATTAGGGTACATTAGTTCCCTAGGCTAATAATAAAAATTTTTCGAAAATTTTTTAAAAATTTCTAAAATATTAGGGTACATTAGTTCCCTAGGCTAATAATAAAAATTTTTCGAAAATTTTTTAAAAATTTCTAAAATATTAGGGTACATTAGTTCCCTAGGCTAATAATAAAAATTTTTCGAAAATTTTTTAAAAATTTCGAAAATATTAGGGTACATTAGTTCCCTAGGCTAATAATAAAAATTTTTCGAAAATTTTTTAAAAATTTCTAAAATATTAGGGTACATTAGTTCCCTAGGCTAATAATAAAAATTTTTCGAAAATTTTTTTAAAAATTTCTAAAATATTAGGGTACATTAGTTCCCTAGGCTAATAATAAAAATTTTTCGAAAATTTTTTAAAAATTTCTAAAATATTAGGGTACATTAGTTCCCTAGGCTAATAATAAAAATTTTTCGAAAATTTTTTTAAAATTTCTAAAATATTAGGGTACATTAGTTCCCTAGGCTAATAATAAAAATTTTTCGAAAATTTTTTAAAAATTTCGAAAATATTAGGGTACATTAGTTCCCTAGGCTAATAATAAAAATTTTTCGAAAATTTTTTAAAAATTTCTAAAATATTAGGGTACATTAGTTCCCTAGGCTAATAATAAAAATTTTTCGAAAATTTTTTAAAAATTTCTAAAATATTAGGGTACATTAGTTCCCTAGGCTAATAATAAAAATTTTTCGAAAATTTTTTAAAAATTTCTAAAATATTAGGGTACATTAGTTCCCTAGGCTAATAATAAAAATTTTTCGAAAATTTTTTAAAAATTTCTAAAATATTAGGGTACATTAGTTCCCTAGGCTAATAATAAAAATTTTTCGAAAATTTTTTAAAAATTTCTAAAATATTAGGGTACATTAGTTCCCTAGGCTAATAATAAAAATTTTTCGAAAATTTTTTAAAAATTTCTAAAATATTAGGGTACATTAGTTCCTTAGGCTAATAATAAAAATTTTTCGAAAATTTTTTAAAAATTTCGAAAATATTAGGGTACATTAGTTCACTAGGCTAATAATAAAAATTTTTCGAAAATTTTTTAAAAATTTCTAAAATATTAGGGTACATTAGTTCCCTAGGCTAATAATAAAAATTTTTCGAAAATTTTTTAAAAATTTCTAAAATATTAGGGTACATTAGTTCCCTAGGCTAATAATAAAAATTTTTCGAAAATTTTTTAAAAATTTCTAAAATATTAGGGTACATTAGTTCCCTAGGCTAATAATAAAAATTTTTCGAAAATTTTTTAAAAATTTCGAAAATATTAGGGTACATTAGTTCCCTAGGCTAATAATAAAAATTTTTCGAAAATTTTTTAAAAATTTCTAAAATATTAGGGTACATTAGTTCCCTAGGCTAATAATAAAAATTTTTCGAAAATTTTTTTAAAAATTTCTAAAATATTAGGGTACATTAGTTCCCTAGGCTAATAATAAAAATTTTTCGAAAATTTTTTAAAAATTTCTAAAATATTAGGGTACATTAGTTCCCTAGGCTAATAATAAAAATTTTTCGAAAATTTTTTTAAAATTTCTAAAATATTAGGGTACATTAGTTCCCTAGGCTAATAATAAAAATTTTTCGAAAATTTTTTAAAAATTTCGAAAATATTAGGGTACATTAGTTCCCTAGGCTAATAATAAAAATTTTTCGAAAATTTTTTAAAAATTTCTAAAATATTAGGGTACATTAGTTCCCTAGGCTAATAATAAAAATTTTTCGAAAATTTTTTAAAAATTTCTAAAATATTAGGGTACATTAGTTCCCTAGGCTAATAATAAAAATTTTTCGAAAATTTTTTAAAAATTTCTAAAATATTAGGGTACATTAGTTCCCTAGGCTAATAATAAAAATTTTTCGAAAATTTTTTAAAAATTTCTAAAATATTAGGGTACATTAGTTCCCTAGGCTAATAATAAAAATTTTTCGAAAATTTTTTAAAAATTTCGAAAATATTAGGGTACATTAGTTCCCTAGGCTAATAATAAAAATTTTTCGAAAATTTTTTAAAAATTTCTAAAATATTAGGGTACATTAGTTCCCTAGGCTAATAATAAAAATTTTTCGAAAATTTTTTAAAAATTTCTAAAATATTAGGGTACATTAGTTCCCTAGGCTAATAATAAAAATTTTTCGAAAATTTTTTAAAAATTTCTAAAATATTAGGGTACATTAGTTCCCTAGGCTAATAATAAAAATTTTTCGAAAATTTTTTAAAAATTTCGAAAATATTAGGGTACATTAGTTCCCTAGGCTAATAATAAAAATTTTTCGAAAATTTTTTAAAAATTTCTAAAATATTAGGGTACATTAGTTCCCTAGGCTAATAATAAAAATTTTTCGAAAATTTTTTTAAAATTTCTAAAATATTAGGGTACATTAGTTCCCTAGGCTAATAATAAAAATTTTTCGAAAATTTTTTAAAAATTTCTAAAATATTAGGGTACATTAGTTCCCTAGGCTAATAATAAAAATTTTTCGAAAATTTTTTTAAAAATTTCTAAAATATTAGGGTACATTAGTTCCCTAGGCTAATAATAAAAATTTTTCGAAATTTTTTTAAAAATTTCTAAAATATTAGGGTACATTAGTTCCCTAGGCTAATTATTTCCCTAGGATTCGAGAAGATAAAAAATCTTCAAAAAATTTTTTCAAAAAATGACATTGTCCAACTGACATTGTCCCACTCAATCAGTTCACTCAAAACGAATCTGATTAATTTGGAAAAAAATTTTTTCTGAACTTCAATTAATTCATACATACATAAACTTAAATTAAACATTTAAACAAAAGCATCATTATAATTATCAAACTTAGATAATGACATATTTTTGTCATTAACTTTTAATTCTTCAAATAAAAATCCAGTTTGGTTAAGTTTAACGTCACTAGTACATTCACCACTAGCAGATTCATATGTTGATGAATCACAAGATAATGATGAAACCGAGCATGATGATTGTTGAAATTTTGTTATGGATTGCTAAAATTAAGTTTTTAGGAAGTATCAGGGAAGTGTCTGAATGACATCTGTAGTCGCCTAAATCGTGGGGGTGAGAATCGGTGGCAAATGGGAGATGACCTCCTAAAAACCCTTAATAAACCCCTTCTAGAGCAATTAAATGAGTGATAAGGCTGTTTAAGAGATGACTCTCACATTGAAAAGTTAATTGAACTCAATGCGTTTTCATTTGTCTACTAGAGATCGAGCTGGACCTGGACCAAGGCCTTGGTTTTTCCTGTACCCAGAGTCCAGGTCCAGGCATTTTTTACCCTTCCTGGGGTTTTCCTGGACTAAGGACGAGGATCCAATCCAGGTCAAGAATCAAACTCCAGAGTCCCAGGAACAGGTCCAGGCTTTTCAAAAACTCGATCTCAGTTGTCTACTCTCCCTCTAGGTGTCTTTCATTAGCTTAATAAATTTACTGATTATAGTTAACAGTCCTACATTACAATACTTTTCATAATTATTTCTCTTAGTGCCAAAATTTAATTTAATAAATACCTGAACTTTCTTTTCGCAAAAATTATTGCATTTAATAAAATTTGAGGAGGAAGATGAAGGTGAATTGATGCTCGTTGTAAACTTATGTTTTTTATTAAATTTAATATTATCATCAGTTAGTTGATCACCTTTCAAACTTTAAAAATTAATTCAAAAATTAGGAAGCTTCTGCTAGCTTTCCTAATCAAACAATTAATAAACTTTAATTAAAATCCTGCCTTAAAGTTTCTGTAATATCGTCTAGCCCATCATCGCTATCAAAATCAGGTTTTATTAATATCACTTCAAGCAAGATTTCATTGCATTCCCTCATCTTTTAGAGAATGGATTAAAAAATGCTTTATTTTATAGCTATTGAGGAGTACTATACCACAAAAAATAATTAGATATGGTAGACTGAGATACCCGATAAAACTATTGTCGGTAAATGGATTTTTTCGTTACCGTTAGTACCGAAAAGTGCCAAAAAGTATCGTTACCTACTAGTACTGAGTATCCTACTAGTACTGACTCATTTATTTGCAAGATCAAAAGAGGCTCGAAATGGTCAACCAAACCTATGGGAGTCGCCAAACCCCGCGCTTCTTGTGGTGCTGTCAGTATCGTTGCACCAAGCTGTGCAGAACACTGATAAAATTCAACGGCCATCTATTTATGTTTAACTCTATTTTTGTTTGTATGTAAATGTCAGTCAGTAAAGTCGGCCTGATAAACGTTTAACTTTCAAAATCACCTCTTTATTTAAAATTTTCACAGCTTGTGAATGCTTCAAATTATTAAGACTTTTCCCGTTAACAGAAAGTATAGCATCTCCAACAAACAAATTTCCGCTTGTTTCTGCAGCTTGCCCAGAATGCAATTCAGAAATAATAATAGGGACTCCATGCTCTTTTCCTCCAGTAATAGAAATACCCAGGCCTTCATTATCTTCCAAATGGAGATGAATGCGACGTGTCTTTCCGACACCCCTTTTGTCAAAATAGACGGAAGGAGAGGCTTTAGAATTCTACAAAAATAGTTGGAAAATGAAATGCCGGGTCATAGGTACCTCGTTCAGATTTTTCCGTCTCGAAATGTTGTTTATTTCAAGCACACTAAAATATCCAGTTAAATATAAAAATATTTTTATAAATACCGACAAGCTTTAATAACTGTTTTGTGCCTATTAAGATGAATTTCCGCTTCTAACTGATTCCATAGACGATCATGCTGAGCTCCTATAAAAAATTCATAATGAATTAATCATGTGAGAGAGTCCTTAATCTTTATGAGAATAGAGATAACTGCTTGAAAAATATTTATCTTGATAACGGAGATTTTGCTTGAGACTTCGTCTCAGTCCTATCTCATTAGATCAGGCCATCCGGGTCAGGTGCGGGCGCAATGCGTTTTGCGTTGATTTTTGGCCTTTCGTTGCGTTTGTCGTTCTTGGAAATTGTCTCTTGCACCCGCTCCTGAAGGCATGCTCGAAGGAAACTTGATTAAGTTAAGAAAGCATTGCCATCTTAACAAAATGAGATCTGACTTCATTCATAAATATCCTCAGAACAAGATGATACTCCTCCCTCTCAGATTAGATACCCACGGTTTGAAACCTCTAAAATTTTTAAATACCTCGCATATTGCGACCAAGCAATTGAATTTGCTGAATCCGTCCAGCCAATTCTTTATCCAAATATTTAGCAGCTAAACGAGCTCCATAAATTTCGGAATGAACCGAATTTAGAAGACTTTTTAATTTAAGATTTTCTTCTTTTAATAAAGAAATTTCAGCTTGTGATTTTGTAATTGGTAAATTTTTTGTGTTAAACATTCTCATTTCTTTATCCTTTTTTTTAATAAAATTTGTTTCAAAAAAATTTATTTTTCCAACCAATTTCTTTTTAATAATTTCTGATTCGTGTGGAGCTGTTTTTGAGTAGAGTTGGCAGGAAAGTGAATGAACTCGCAAAAGAAGTTGTTCTGACTGTTCTTCTAATAATGAATTTGTGGCTAATACTCCAATTAATTTATTGTTGGAATTTTGAAGGTCTTTCTTTAAAAAGAAATTTTTGGAAATTTGAGATTTAATGGATTATGGATAAGAGGAGAAACTAATATTAGGAAATCACCTTGAGACTAAACTACATTCCGACCCAGAAAATAAACTTAAAATACTCGAAGCTCATTAGTAGATACAAACTTGATGTTGAAAAATTTGTGCCTTATATTGAGGCGTATCTTAAATTGAGAGTATCTCTTGAAGAGCTGCCCTTACCCAATAACCAATCAACTTAAAAACATGTCTATTAAAGAGAGGTCTATCTAGGTTTCTTAATATTTTATAAAGAAGCACCTATTTTATAATAAGGGTACATTAAACTGATGTGTACCTTATATTGAGGTATATCCTAAATTGAGAGTATCTCTTGAACAGCTGCCCTTACCCAATAACCAACCAATTAAAAACATGTTTATTAAACCGAGGTGTATCTAGTTTTGCTTGGATCTTATAGGGAAGCACATAGGTATCTTATAATTATGGTACGTAAACTTGGTGTATCCTATATTGGGGTGTATCTTAAATAGAGAGTATCTCGATTTAAGATTGCTTTACCCAACGACCAGCCAACTTAAAAGCATGTTTATTAAATGGAGGTGTATCTAGCTTTGCTTGTAAAGTCCGTAATCTTATAATAATGGTTACTTAAACTGAGTGTATCTCTTAAACATCGCCTCTGCCCAGTGGTCATCAAATTATAAAGCACCTCTTTAGAAGTAGCTAAAAGTGAGCTCCGATTGTGTTTAGGGCTGGAAAATTGGAAATTTTTCTGGAAATTTTCCTTTTCCCGACAATTTTTACTCCAAAGTAACTTTCCCTAACTACCTTAAAGTCGTAATTTTGTTGGCAAATTACTTGAACTTTTTGAGCAAATTTGGCAAACACCCCACTAATGAGTGTTAAACGCCTACGGCATTCAAAAATTAATTCGGACTGCTAAAGAATTATTTTAAAATTTTTAAATTTTCAAAAAATTCTTTTCACATTTTCCTGTTCAACCTCCCCAATCAGCACATCCAAATCAACAAAAGCTTTGTCAAATTCATTTTCCAAAGTTTCAAACCATTCAGGGGAAGGGAGGTTAGAATGGAATGTTGAAGCTTTTGTGAAACTATTTTCAGCATCTCTAAAGGTAGTTCTTGAAAGATGTGAATTTGTTGGAGATAAATCCTCCATGGTCATTTTATTTTTAAAATATTAAATTTTTATAACAAAAATATTAATAGAGCAATTAAATGATTGAGATTAGAACCTTTAAAAATAAACTTAAAAAAATTTTTGAGCAATACATAAAATATTAGGTTAAGTTCAGAAATAAAAATATCATCAAGGTTTGAAACAATATTGAAATTAGAGACCAGCACGGGACGGGATCCCGCGCGGGATTTTGCGGGATACCGCTCCCGCAATCCCGCACTTTTTTCGATTTGCAGGATTTTGCGGAAATGCGGGATTTTGCGGGATTTATCCCGCGGGATCCCGTCCCGCAAAGATTTTTAAAATAATTTTATCCCGCGGGATCCCGCAACCGCGATTTTGCCGGTCTCTAATTAAAACCTTGAAATTCACATAATGCATACTAGTGTTTCACCGGAACCGAAATCTTGAACGGAACCGGAAATGGATCCAATCAGAGTTCCGATACCCGCGGATATATCCGGATATGGACGGATATGGGTACAGTTTTTTGACTATTTTTAGAAAAAAACGGATATATCCTCAGATGGATGTGTCTCAAACGATGAACGGATATAAACGGATACGCATATCAGGGTTGGCGCCTGAAACCCGAACCCCGTACCCAATATTTTTGCCAGCCCGAAACAAGTGATCCGAACTGAAAACGCTTCAATTCGATACCTGAAACCCGTACCCTAAGATTTTTTGTACCCGCGGTAACCCTGACGGATATTGACTTCACGGATATATTCGGACATGCACCAGTCTTGTTTAAACATTAATAATGACTGCATAATATTAAAAATTAAAATTGTCTTTAAAATAAACAGAAAATAATCCCTAGAGTATTTTCAATTGTCCTTTTAAAAATGAATAATTACTCAAATTCTGCCCTCCCTATTTTTTTTACTTTAGTCCTTCCAAAAATTTTTTTGAAAGTTGTTGCTTGACATCAAGAAAAAATTGGAAAGGCAATGAATAAAAACAAACAAAAAGAGATTTTTTTGGCAGTTTTGGGTTAAAAAAAGGGAATATTTCTTTGAAAGTGAGACTTTAACCAAAAAAGCAATGTAATAATAGTGTGTTAATTCACACGAGTAAAGAAGAGTGAAATTGAGGGAAGTTGCTTTTTAACTCTTTTAAAATAAACAGAAATGGATATGTTTGTCTTTAAAAAACAATGTAAGGCTATGTTTAATATCCAAAACCCAATATGTTTAAAAGTGATATAAAAGGATAAAAGCGAAGTGACCGTTTTTAAATATAACGTATGAGGCTGTAAATTATGCCTTAAAATGAGGGGTACCTTAAATAGAGATATCCAGTTGCCAAGCAAATTTTAACGAAGGTACTATTTAAATTGAGGTGTATATAGTATTGAGTGCGTCTAAAAATAAGGTTAAAATAATTACAATTATTATTTTAACTTCAGAAACAATGAAAAAATAAAAGAATTAAAAATAATTTTTAAAAAATTGAACAATCCGGTTATAAAAAATACCGACTATTAAGAGCTTACGAATGGTATAAAATTTATATTTATGAATTGGATTAAGGTTAAAAAAGTTATAGTTAATCAAAGCTGGCTTTCTCTTCTTATTCTAATACAAGCAGAGGTGGATCGGAACAGTCCAAGAGCCAGAAATCGGAACTGGCTCAAAAGTCGGAACTTGGAAATCGGAATTCCGATCCACCTCTGAATACAAGCAAAATATTTAATTTTAATTAATTGAAAGATTATTAAAAAAATACATTCAATAAAAAATTACCAAAAATATTTTCAAAGAAATTTTAAAAAAGACCAAAAAAAACCCCTCAAACACCAATCAAACAGGGAAAAGACTCTTGAAAAGTGGGCCATTGAGTGTATTTATGAGGGCCCTTCCTCACAACCAGTCTGTTGTTTTAACAAATTCCCTAGAGGTCCTCATCATTTTTAGAAAGAGAAAAGGGGCTATATTTGAAGATCTAAAATTTATTTTCTTGGAGGGAATTTGGGTAAAATAAAATTATTTAAAATAAATTTTTGGTCAATTTTGTAGGTTAGAAAACACCAAAATTAAAGCTTTAATCGATTTTAAACAAAAATTTAATGAAATTTTGAAAACTTGTAAAAGCTTCGTTTAGTTAATTCTGAATTTTGAAAATAGTTTTTCGACATTTAAGGAAATGATTGTCTGAAATATGTACCTAAGTTTAGTCCGCAAATGCGAATCTGTAAAGATCAGTCTGCATCAGAGGGGGTCGGGGGGTCGGAACAGTTAGAGGTGTCAGAAATCGGAAGAGCCGGAAAGCGGAACTGGCTCAAAATCGGAACTCGGAAATCAAAATTTTTTTCGGAAATCGGGAGGAAAAAAACGTCGGAACTCGAAATTCCAACACACCTCTGGTTTGCATTTGTTAAGATACTTAATATATTTTATTACAAAAATAGATATAAGGCACAATTGAGAGGCAAAAATTTTTAAAAATAAGTATAAAAAAATAATTTAATTAAAATATTATTATGTCCTAGATTTATTTAAATAATTAACCCTCACAATTTCTCATCTTAATTTTCTCAAATATTTATTATTTGTCATTAACTTCCTCTCTAACATTTAAAGATTCCTCCAAACACAGCTTAATATTACTGTTATTGTTACACTCATCTGTAGCCGATTCGTATGAGACAGAAGATGATGGAGAACAAGAATTAATTTCTTTTAAAGTTTTGTTGATAGGCTAAAAATGATTTTTAAATTTGCGGACAATTTTTGCGGACAATAATATTTGCGGACAAAAAAATTTGCGGACAAAATTTGAAATTTATTAAAATAGGAAAAGCTTTCTAAATGCCTAACAATTTGGTCTAAACATAAATAAAAAATGTTCGCTCCAGAGCTAGTATTCCAAGGGAGTTAGAGAATGTCCGCAACTGTTTGTCCGCAAGTATCAGAATAATTTTTTCCAGGGCTTATCTGATTTTTCTGCTCCAATTTATCTTAAAAGGGAGGTCCAATTTATATAAAAAAATTTTTTTGATAAATAAAAAGGAGAAGAGGATTGTTTTATTTAAAAAATTGTATGAAAAATTTGCGGACAAAAAAGTTACGGATTTTTTTTGTCCGCAAAAAATTTGCGGATTTTTTTGTCGCAAAAACTTGCCCGCAAAAAAAAGTTTCAAAATTCTTTTAAATTTACAAAATAAAAATAATTTAAAAAATTCACCCTTTCAAAATGTTGTTCACACAAACTGTTGCACGTAGAAGTCTTAGAATTATTAGAAGACGAAGGGGAACAAGGCGACAAAAGGGGGAATATTGGCAAGCATTTTTTATTGGAATTAAAAGAAGAATTTTTATTTTTTGAAGTTGTTGGCTTTTGATGCCTCAAAAAATCTTTGACGTCTGGAACGCTTAAAGAAAATTTTTTTGAAAAATTAAAAAAAAATTTTTTTTAATTTACTAGCAAGTCTTAACAAAAGTTTTGTGTCTATTCAAATGAATTTCAGATTCTAAACGATTCCAAAGACTATCGTATTGAGAACCTAGAAAAACAAAGAAAATTTTAAAATTAAGAAAAGTGCCCTCAAAGAAGTCCTCTTCAAAAGTCCGCAAAATTTTTTTAAAATTGTCCGCAAATTTTTTGCGGACAATCCGCAAATTTTTGAAATTTATTTTTTTAATATTTTCTTTAGTTATGAGTCATAAAAAATTTATACCTCGCATATTACGCCCCAATAATTGAATTTGTTGAATACTAAAATTAGAAAAATTTTGTTCTTATATTCTAAATTAAAAAAAAAGTTTTTACAAAATTTGCGGATTTTTCATTTCTTTTGTTTATAGAGGAAGGGGCGCGCCGAAATTTGCGGATTTTAATTTGCGGACCCGAACTTTGCGGACCCGAATTTTGCGGACCCGAACTATGCGGACCCGAATTTTGCGGATCTGAGATTTGCGGACCAAAAATTTGCGGACCGACAATAGAGTCTACTGAATCTCGGAAATCTCAAAAATTTTAGTCTGCGGCGTTAATTAGGATGAATTTAGGCATCATGACCTTATGAGATGGCCATATAAATGACTTCCTTAAGGAATTTTCTCGATTATTTAAATTATGAAATAATTTTAAGATAATAAATTGATAAAATTTTGAAAAATCGAGAAAAAATTTTGAGTCTGGTACGGATCATGGTAAACTCTGCCGGAATCATCGAAAAATAAAATATTTAATTTTTCCTTTTTACTCAAGTGTCGGTCCTAAAATCTTGGTTCCGCAAAAATCAGGTCCGCAAACTTCGTGTCCGCAACCTTCGGGTCCGCAACTTTCGGGTCCGCAACTTTCGTTCCGCAAATTTCGGGTCCGCAAAGTTCGCGCCACGAGAGGAAGGTTATCGTGCGTATCCCCTCAAAATCTCTATTCCTTAAAATCTCTACTGGGCTAAAATGCCTTATAATCTCTACACAGCTAAAATGCATTAAAATCTCTACTCGGCTAAAAATGATTAAAATAACTATTCCTTAAAATCTCTATTCCTCATAATCTCTACAAGGGTAAAATGCCTTAAAATCTCTACACGGCCAAAAATAGGATAAAATGTCTATTTTTTCATTCGGAAGCCTTTTGAGTGCCAACGTTCAGTGCGGAAACGTTGTTCTGATTTCTGGCTTATCTTTTGATATTATTTTGCTTGTATTGTTTTTGCCGCTGCGAATGAACCCAGGCATGTCCAGCGGAACGACAGCAGCCGCTTCGATACGATCACCGCAAGCAAAATGAACACGACCGCAGCGAAGCAGTCGTGTATTATATCTTCGATATTTACAGCGGATACAAGCAGATATCCGCAGCCATTTTTAAATCAATTGTATCCGTATCCATTACCAAGTCTGGGTTTTCCAATGAATAGTTCATATTTTACACTTTTGTTGAGACTCTACCGTCCATTTGCACGGTGTAGAGATTTTAATTATTTTTACCCCAGTAGAGATTTTAAGGAATAGTTATTTTAAGGAATAGAGATTTTAAGCATTTTTACCCTAGTAGAGATTTTAAGGAATAGCGATTTTAAGGAATAGAGATTTTGTATGGGAGCCTTATCGTGTAATTTGTCTATTAAACCTCTAATTCTTAAATAATATCCTAAAACATGTTTAGAAAACTAAAAGAAGGTATCGGCTACACTGCGGTGCAAAAGTTTATCTACACTGACTGAAAATTTATTTAAAACAGTAGATCTCGTGAAGAATTCGTTTAGATGACATGGATTATTTTTATTATTATTAAGTAAAAAGTGCTCTTTCTAATAAGCCATAATTTTAAAAATAACCCCCAGTACTTATTAAAATATACACCAGTTTCCGAAACTGCTTCAATTTTTTCGGTGCAAAAGTTTATCTACACTTTGCAAAAATTAAATTTTTAGATGAATAGATGGCAATAAAAACACAAAAAAATATCTGTGGGCATTTCGATTGATATTGAATATAAAATCAAAAAGAACAATATTTCTAGCTAATTTTTTCATCGAGATCTCAAATCTCGAAAATCAACGGGAAATGGGGTTACCGTACTTCAAAAAATATTTTAGCTCCCTAGGGCCTGTATCAAAAATTCTTTTTGAGCTCATTAGAAAGCCCATGAAATTTGCTATAAAATACCATTGGTCTCATATTTGTATCCACATCTATATAGTAGCTAAGTGTGGGCTACTTATTGTGAAATTAAAAATGAGCATTTTATGGGGTTTCACGTTGATTTACCCCGATTTCACGTTGATTTATGTGATTTGAGATCTCGATGATGAAAGCTGTTACGGACTTCTTTCTTTTTTATTTTTAACTCAGTATCTATGGAAATGTCTCAGAATTTTTTTGGTATTTTTTCTGCCATTTGTTTTTCTAAAAATCAAATTTTTGAAAAGTGTAGATAAACTTTTGCACCGACAAAAAACGAATTAGTTTGGGAAAAAGGAGCATATCATAAAAAGTTCTGGTGCTTATTTTTAACACAAAGGCTTATTAGAAAGAGCACTTTCCATTTAATAATTGTGAAAAAAATCATTTCATGAAAACGAAATTTCCCCGAGATATATCGTTCTAAAAAAATTTTCGGTAGGTGTAGATAAACTTTTGCACCGCAGTGTATATGAAATAAATATTTATTCTTAAAATATCCGCAAAAGAAAAAAAGTCCGCAAAATTTGTCCGCAAAAATTTGTCCGCAAGTTTTTTTTCAAAAAAATTTTTTTCCCTTAAAAGTCCCAAAAATCAACTTTAATTTTTTAATAAAAATATTTTAAAATAAAATTTCCCACCGTCCAGCCAATTCTTTATCCAAATATTTAGCAGCTAAACGAGCCCCATAAATTTCGGAATGAACCGAATTTAGAAGACTTTTTAATTTAAGATTTTCTTCTTTTAATAAAGAAATTTCAGCTTGTGATTTTGTAATTGGTAAATTTTTTGTGTTAAACATTCTCATTTCTTTATCCTTTTTTTAAATTAAAAAAAATTTTTCAAAAAAATTTTTAATTTTCCAACCAATTTCTTTTTAATAATTTCTGATTCGTGTGGAGCTGTTTTTGAGTAAAGTTGACATGAAAGTGAATGAACACGCAAAAGAAGTTGTTCTGACTGTTCTTCTAATAATGAATTTGTGGCTAATAATCCAATTAATTTATTGTTGGAATTTTGAAGTTCTTTCTTTAGAAAAAGGAGGAAATTTAGATAGTCCTATCGACCTGTGTTGCTAGCAGACTCCCTTTTAGATACCTAGCCCCTTAGGACAGAAAGTACAGTACTTAGTCTGTGAGGGGCGGAGGGGCATTTTAAATTGAGGATATCGCTTAACAGCCGCTCCGATCTAGTGGCTAATTAACTCATACCATACAAGGAAGTATCTAATTATGGGAAATGACGATTCCATTTTTGCGCCCCAGACGAAAATTTTGTAAATTTGGACAATCTTTAGTCGGAAATATTCTTTAAAAATTCTCGGAAATCGGAAATCTCCAAAATTCTCGAGAATCGGAGGAAACCGTCGAAAAGAGGACGTGGTATAGGAACATGGTTGCCGGTTAACTCACCACTAACCGACGGCTATACTGGCAGTATATGAAGGTGGTAAGGCTAACTATGAGGTCGATCGGAATTCCGATTTCCGACGTTATTTTCTTTCCAAATTCCAACAGTTCCGATTTCAGACAGTTTCCGATTTCCGGCACCTTCGTCATTTCCGATCGACCTCTACTGACCTACACGCTGCTAAACCCCGACGTTTATTCTTCTACTGGCTAACAATTACCTTATGGTCCCCTAACAATGGCTACTTAACCCTGGTCGAGCAAACAGGGTTACTTGACCGAGTTCTTATATTAATGGGCTCTGGAGGCACCCAAAAGCGAGGTCTGCCTGTCTCAACCAATTTTCAACTTACCTCAAGCTCACAATTCCGCTGATTCATAATCGCAACTTTATGAACAAATTGAACAAAAATACCGCTAATACGCGTTAAACGGCGGCGACATTCAAAAGATAATTCAGACTAGTAATAGAAAAAAAGGAAATTATTTTTTACTCCTAAAAAGTGTCTCTCACGTTTTCCTGTTCAATTTCCCCAATCAAAACATCCAAGTCAACAAAAGCTTTGTCAAATTCATTTTCTAAGACATCAAAAGAATCGGTTGAAGAAGAATTATTTTTAGAAGAGGTCATGATACTTAAAAAAGAAAATTTTTTTGAATTCAAGAATTTAAAAAAATTAAAATGAAACTGAACGGGAAAATTTTTAAGTTTGGCCGTTTCAGCGCGAAAATAAATTTAAATTGGCATACTGTCTGAACAATTAAAAGTTCAACGATTTTTGAAAAATCCCGCAACCCGGCGCGGGATCCCGCAAATTTAAAGTGCGGGATTTTGAAAGATGCGGATTTCCCGCGGGATCCCGTCCCGCAAAGATTTTTAAAAAGATTTTATCCCGCGGGATCCCGCAAACGCATTCTGCCGGTCTCTAATTAAAACGGCCGGAGGTCGGATTCGGAGTGCAACTCTATGTAGTTGTAAATAAAAGTACATTATTTTAAAATCGACACTTGCACTTTAGAAATTTAAAAATTGCTTTGAGTTAAAATATGCCGCCAAAATTTAATCATGAGAGCGTTTGCCCTTAATAAATAATTACCTGACTGCTTGCTTTAAAAATTTAAGAAGTTTCGAAATTTCGATTTATAGGGGTAAAGTGAAAGATCAGTGTTTGCTTTAAATGAAGTCTTAAATAGTTAAAATTTATTTTTTACATAGTCTTACTTATAATTAAATATTGTTTTTAAATAGCAATTAGTGTATTGGACAATATTACTGTGTTTTTTACATTGAGATTTCTACTGCTTCCTCTACCGTTTCAGCTTTCTACCTGCTTCCGCTTTTTAAAACTGAAAATTATCCATCCCTGATATGTACCTAGAGCTGGAACGGAGCCGGACGTATTTTCTGTAATAATCCTGTGTAAAATCCCAAATTCATTTATTTTTTGAAAAAGCGAATTTTAAGACAAAATTTGCTAAAAGGGGTAAATGTGGAGATTACTGGTCCCCAAAAATATGAGGAAGAAGTAATATTTAAATTTTAGTATTTATTTACTCTTGAGATGAAAATTTACAATTTAATTCTTTTAAATGTTTATTTTCTTCAATTGTTTCCATTATTATTTGGAATGTATCAAGGAGAAGGTCCTTCAGGATCGCAACCAGGAGGAATGCATCCAGGAGAAGGTTCAGGATCGCAACAACCTGAGGATTTAGTTTTTACTATTATTTTACCGAGATAATAACATAAACATTTTAACAGGCTTTTAGTCGATTAGACAATCAAATTCGTCCGATGCTTGAAATAGTTGGCGACGCATACCCTTACTCGGATTTAGTTCAGCCGTTACGTAATATTTATTTTTGTTTAAATTTATAAGAAATAATTTTTAACTATAAAAACAATTCATTTTAAAGAGAACACTGAACATGTCCAACCAGGGACAAATGTTGGAGAACAATATGCTAATTTAGCTCTTGTATACAATAACTTATCAAAAGATATCGATATAATTAATGAAGAACTAGAAGTCTCTTTTAAACAAAGTCAAGATATGGTAAAAATATTTTTTTATTTCAAATTTAGGTATTTTTATTTGTTAATAAAAATACTTTATTTGTTAATAAAAATATTATTCGAAGCATATGCATGCAGTTTTTGATAAAGAAATACCGAGAAAATAAATCAGAAATGAAATTATAATATTCAACTTTTTCTATATACCTAATTTTAATTCTGTTATAATAGGACCAGCCTCACAATGAACAACTAATTAATCAAATCATAGCATCTTATAATAACGATATTCAGAAGATCTGTGAACGTCAAGATGTACTTATGGCAGATATGATAAAAGTTCGCACCTATGTCCGTCAACACTACAATGATTATCTAGATAAGCAAAATGCAGGTAATTGAACGATTTTAATATAATTCCCGAGTGATATCCGACTGAAGTTCTCTCTAAATGAATACACTATTTGGTAATGTAATGTCAGTTTATTTTCACGAGTTTATGATAAAACAAGAATACCTAATTGTATTTTTATAATGGGATAAATAAAAAGAAAAAGAATATTTTATAGATTAATTAATATAGATGCAAGTGGACAAGAACAACATGGACAAGGGCAACATGAACATGGGCAACAAGGACAAGGCCATCGTGGACAAATGGAACATGTACAAGGCCATCGTGTACAAGGTCGACGTAGTAGACGTAGGGGTGGGAATCGTGCATCAGATTCAGGCAATTGAAGTAGGGAATATAATGATAAATTTATATTAATTAAAATTTTAATGAAAGGAAGATAACGAGAAGATTACAAGGATGTGAGGAACATGTTAGTTAAATCGTGTTGACTGAAAAACAAAAGTAGATTAGCCTCATACAAAATTATGACAAGACTTGAATAGTTCCTAGCGAAATAGTTCCTACATATATTGTCAGTATCTAAACTTTAAATAAGAATTGTAATTCTGAAAAGTCAATTGGGGATTTTTTACCTTCGTTCCTAATAGAACCTCTTATTCTTTCATTTCTTTCAATTAACATTCTGTCATTTTCTATACTCTTTAAAATATTATTTGAACAATAACACGAAAATTTCTGCCCGGCATTCGTGGCACATTGCTGGTGAAAAATTCCAGAGCGTAGTTTAAAAGGAGCAAGCCCCATAAAAGTCTCTATAATTTTCTTTCCTTTTTAGCACAATTTGTATTAGTTTTCAATTTTCAGTATTTTTATTTTACAAATTTTTAATTCACGCATTTGTTTTTGATGTTAATTAGAATACTTTTGCGATAAATTAGTTAGTCCCGAACGAACAAACATGATTTATAGTAGATTTGTAGTCAATTAATTCATTGAAAGTAATAAATTGACTTTAAATTTCAATCAAAATTTTAATTTGAAGGCTTGAAATTGAATGGCTTGAAAATTTCTTTCGGCTCCGTTTGAACATTTTTTGAGAATTCTTTAAAATATTTACAATTTAGAATATAATAAAATAATATACCTAATTCCACTACTAAAAAATTATTTTTAAATAAATCTTTATTTATTTTTATAAAACCATTTGCTGAGTTTATTGTTTTTGCAAGGGTTATTTAATATTCTTACACTAAAAATTTTTTTGAAAAAAATTACTAATCCAGTGGCCAAACAAATTTTACATAAAAGTGCAAAATTTTTAACCACTTTAAAGCTTTAAAAAATTTTGGGTAGAAAATCGGACAAATCGAACAATTTAGAATATTTTGATAGAATTTATGGCTATTGACTTTAACAAGTTGTATGTGGCAAACATTTTAAAGCAATTGCCACATACAACTAATTAAAGTCAATAGCCATAAATTCTACTAAATATTCTAAATTGTTCGATTTGTCCGATTTTCTATAAGTAACATCGTGATTTAACTTGTGAATTGAATAAGGCTATTAATTCGCATGAATTTTAGTGTGAGTTAATTGGGTGTCTGATTACCTTTAAAAAAGCAAATTGCTAGTTTGCTTCATTCATTAATTTAAAGCAATAAACATTCAAAATCCCTTTATTTTTTTGCTAACAAGGAGTTTCTTTTAGGATTTTAACAGTAAACATGAAAGAAATTTTTATTTTTAAATTTGACGGCCTGCCGAACAAATTTTAAGTGCATATTGTGCATATTTATTGTTTTTATTAAAAGGTTAGAGGGAAAAAAGGAACTCACGTTAACCGATTAATTATTTTTATCCGAGAATAGGGTGTTCCTGGTGTTCCTGAGAATAGGGTGTTCCTGTTATTTTTAGAATTTGGGTAGAAAATTGGACAAATCGAACAATTTAGAATATTTCGACAGAATTTATGGCTATTGACTTTAATTAGTTTTATGTTGCAAGCACTTTAAAGCAATTTAATACTACTAAATAATGTTCTACTAAATAATGCTCCTAAGCGCCTGCGGCGCTTAGGGGGAAGCCCTAATATAAATATCAATATATTCCGCTCCGGATCTTCAACTAGAATTTACCTAGTATTGGGGCTGGTGGAGCCGGACGTATTTTCTGTATTAATCCGGTCCTGTTGTCCTAGAATAATTATTTACCGATATTTGTTAAGATTTATCGAGATATTCTTGAATATCGAGATTATCTATTAAATGAAGAAAGATCTAGAGAAACAAAGCGGTAGTAAAAGTGTAAAGTCTTATAATAATATGTATGTACTATATAAATTTTAGTATTTATTTACTTTAGATGAAAATTTACAATTTATTTCTTTTAAATTTTTGTTTCTTTCAACACCTTTCATTATTATTCGGGATGGATCCGGATCCGTCAGGATCGCAACCAGGAGGAATGTATCCAGGAGAAGGTTCAAGGTCGCAACAACAAGCTGAACAAGATGTTTGTACTATTGTAGCGAAATAAAAATATAAATAATTTTAATAGGCTTTTAGTCAAATGAATCAACAAATCCGTCATTTACTTGTTCAATTTGGCGACTTGAAGTGTCTTCCGTTACGTAATATTTATTTTTATTTAAATTTATAAAAAAATATGTATAATTTTTAACTATAAAAACAATTTATTTTTAAAATAAAGATCCTGACCTTGCGGAATTAAATATCAATATTAGACAACAATATGATAGTTTGACTAATACATATATTCCTTTATTAAATCAATATTATTTATTAAATCAACAATTAAATCATCATTTAAATGCTAGAATCCAAAATCAGGCAAAAAATATTTTTTACATATATAGAATGTTTTTATTTGGGAAATAAAATTTTATCAAAAGAGATTTGGAAGAACTAAGAGCGAGATTAGATAAATGAAATGATCAGGCCGGGATCATCTAAAATAACATGAAGAGAAATCATCGATCTAAGAGAGTACAACGAGAACACCACAATCCGCCATTCCCAGAGAATTAGGCATAAAGATAGGGAAAAAGACTGGAAAGCAGTGGTGGTCCCTCCACAACCACTGGGGAACTTTAATCAAGTATATATAATTTTAATTTAAAATTCGTTAGGGCGACCCTAACTTGGAACAACAAATACAAGAGAGCCACAACCTTATTGTATCAAACAAAACCAAACAAACATCACTTTTAGCATATATGCAAATAATTTACAAT